GAAAACAGAAGAAAGTGGAGATGTGTTGTTGAAGCCAGTCGTATGTTCCACTCGTAACGCAAGGGAATAATATTAATAAAAGATCGCAGTGTGTATCATTGTTTACTAACCAGGCTGAATTCTTGCATTTATTCCCTAACTTTAAGGCTGGAATAACTTAAATTCAAGTCATGGAGAAAGCATAAGTTTCCTCTAGTTGTGTAATTACATTTTATTAATGAATGAATGAATGTCAATAGGTATGAAAAGCGGGTTCATAGCTGCGTACAGCTAAGAAACAGCTGGATGAAAAATTGGTTGACGTACTTTATTCTCGTTACTATTATATTATTATTGTTCCCTTGGGTTCCTAGTGGAACATAGGGCTTCAAGTACACGTCTCCACTTGCTTCTGTTTTCTGCTGTACTTTTCACCTGCATCCATGTTAGTCCATACTGTTTCAACTCCTCTTCACACGATCTCCTCCATGTCACCCTTGGAGACACGTCCCACTCGCCGCTTCCCTTTCGAGTTCCACTCGAGCGATGGCCTGACGCGCGATGTCAGTGTTTGTTTCCTGCTTTGCTCTGACAGTTGCAGTGAAAGTGTCCTTTGTGGTTGTGTCCTTCAGTTTTTGAGTGTTGAACTTGCATTGTGGCCTATTCCCAGCTATCCTCGAGGCTTTTAGCTTCACCTTGAAAGTCCCTTGTACTAGATAGTGGTCTGAACCCACATTGTGTCCAGTAGGCTCCGTCTCCACTTCCTTGAGATTGAAATGAAGTCTATCTGGTTTTTGGTGTGTCCATCTGGTGAAATCCATGTTGCCTTGTGTATATCCCTGTGTTTGAACACACTGCTGCCACCAATCACCAAATCATTGAAGGCGCAGAAGTCTGAGAAGAGTTCACCATTGTCGTTCATTTCACCGAGGGCCTCGCGACCCATGGTGAGTTCTCTTCATGTATTGTCTCCTCCCAGCTTCGCATTCATATCACCCATCAGGATTCTGATATCGCCATTTGGGATGTTGTCCATTACTGCTTGTAGTTGTCTGTAGAAGGCCTCCTTCTTCTCTTGTTCTGAGACGTTTGTAGGCGCATAGCATTGAATGATTGTAACCTTCCTTCCTTTTGAGTTGAACCTAGCTGTCATTATCCTGGAGGAGATTGGTTACCACTGCATGAGAGCTTTGGCTGCTGTTGGTGACATCATGATGGCCACTCCCTCGGTGTGCTCGTGGTTGTCCTCTGTGTGACCGGAATAGATTACTGTCTCTCCAGTTGATAGTTGGCACCTTCCACATCCGTTCCATCTGCTCTCGCAGATTCCCAACACTTCTATTTTATATCTCCTCATTTCTGCGGCTACCTGGGCAGCCTTTCCAGTTTCGTACATTGTACGAATATTCCACGTCCCCATCCTTATTTTTGCTTTCATCGAAAGGAGGCACATCGGCTGACTGGCTTCCTGAAGGCTTTCACCAGCCTGCGTCATTTCACTTCCCCGATTCCAGCGAAAAATAAGGTTATTGTTTATATTTTTAGTATTTTTAATATATTTGTGCGTTGAAGTTTCTGTAGCAATTTGGTTAAGTTTTGGGGGTGGAGTTGCTAGCACCACGCCCCAACCCTCCGGGCTTGGGACTGGCTAGAAAACTAGCGAGCTAGTAATCTAGGCGAGGTTATATTCTGGTTAACTGTTATTTAATTCATACAGTACCGATTCCATGCAGAAATTTCGGGGTTGGTGTCTATGAATCATTGCTGATTGTAGACTAGCGAATTTACTTATCGGGTATCCAATATATGTATACAGCAGGACCAGATGGAATCCCAGCAGAAGCATTGAAAATGGACCCAGAGACAACAGCGGACTTGATGACGCCACTACTGGAGAAGGTGTGGAAAGAAGGAAAAGTACCCGAGGATTGGAAGAAAGGATACTTATTCAAACTACCAAAGAAAGGAGACTTAAGTCAATGCAAGAACTGGCGCAGAATTATGCTCCTGTCCATCCCAAGCAAAATACTAAGCCGCATCATCCTGGAGAGAATCAAACACGCCGACCTGGATGGAAAACTTCGACCGGAACAGGCTGGCTGGATTCAGGAGAAACAAGTCATGCATTGATCAAATCGCCACATTACGGATCATCATTGAACAAAGCTTGGAATGGCAGTCACCTCTCTACCTCGCTCAACTTCATCGACTTTGAAAAGGCCTTCGATAGTGCAGCGTCGATCGAGAGGTGATTTAGCAACTACTTCGCTACTACGGGGTGCCGCCGACAATTATACATCTCATCCAACAATTAGTTGTACGACAATGCTGCATGCCAAGTAATCCACAACGGGAAACTTACGGAATCCTTCGAAGTGAGGACAGGAGTAAGACAAGCTGGCTAACTGCCTACTATCGCCAATGATTTTCCTGATTGCAGTAGATTGGATAATGCGACAGACAGCGGACAGGGCAGCGAGTAAACAGGCATAAAATGGACTCACACAAAAAGAGACTTGGAGGATCTGGACTTCGCCGATGATATATGTCTGATTTCCCACAAACTGGAAGATATGCAAGTGAAAAGGAACAAGTTGACAGAAGAAGTATCCAAGATAGGACTTCAGGTGAACATAGAGAAAACAGAGGTGATGAAGATTCCTGGGCAAGAACAACAACAACAGACAACAATCAGCATAAATGGAAGGAACCTGAAAGAAACAACCTCCTTTACCTACCTACCTGGGAAGCATCGTTTCAACTACAGGCGGACACAACTGACGAGGATATCAAAGCAAGGATCATCGGAAAAGCAAGACAAGCTTTCACTACTCTCAAGTCTGTGTGGAGGTCAACAGCACTCAGCATCAAAAATAAGATCTGGATTTTCAACTCCAATGTGAAGTCAGTCAGTGCTACTTACTATACGGATCAGAGACTTGGCCAGTGCGTCATAAAGAGCATCTCAAACAAACTACAAACCTTCATTAACAGTTGTCTTCGCTCAATACTGCTCAAGATCAGATGGCCAGCCAGAAAAGATCAGCAACAGAGATCTCTGGCAATGAGCGAACCAACACAACAGGAACCGATTGTGAAACAAATAGGCAGGAAGAAATGGAGATGGATTGGCTGGCCATACTCTGAGGAAACAAACTATCAAGTGACATCACTAGACAAGCCATTGCTCGAGTGGAACCCGAAAGGGAAGCTGAGAGTTGGTCGTCAGTGCGAGGGTGGGTACTTATAGGAGTTCATGCGAAGAGGAGATGAAAGCGTGTGGGCAGACTTGGAGCCAGGTGAAGACTCTAGCAGAGAACCGAACGCAATGGAGACGCACGGCTGAAGCCCTATGTTCCTCTAGGAATACACATACATGCATAAAACGAGGAACTGCGAGGTGTACTTATTAAAGGTAATTTTACAAAATACTAAATAGGAATGTGAGGTCAGTTTAAGGAATTCTGGGTTGTACATTTATGTGTGTGTGTGCGTTGTAGTTTGTTGAAATGTGTAACCGTGCATCATATTTTTACCAAGACGACTTTTTCAACATGCCTTTTGTAAATTAGTTGAAAGGCATCTGAATACATGCGAAAAATGGTCTAAAACCATACTCTCCGACCCACAGCACCCCCTCTATTCCCAACTCTCGCCTTGTATCTCATCAAGTAGAACCAGAAATCAGTATAAAATAATCTATGCTCGTACAACCAAGTACAGGAACTCAACGATACCATACTTGCCCCCTTGTTTCTAAGTGACAGAGACAATGTTAAGCGTGAAACTTATGACTTGCTTTGTTGTTAATGACATAATTTTAGGCTCTTTTATTTCTCTCTTATTTTGTATTCTATAGTGAACTCCTTCTTAAACATACTTAGCTACCTAAATTATTAACATTGGCTTATGTTTTTGTACTTTACTGTATTCCTTTTTTTGTGTATCTACTGGTTCCGACTATATTAGCACTATGAGTAGTACAAAATTGTCTTGTCATTAACCATCATGTAATTATTAGTTTTGTGGTTGCTTTTCTTATTTTTTATTCCTTTCGGCAATATTAACTGACAATCATTGGTTGTGAACGCCATTGTCACCACCTTAAAATTTTTGTATTATGCAGGATTACTCACACTACCACTACAAACACCGCATTAGACCTGACAATAAAAAACAAAACAACAACCCTGAAATGTTATTTCATCGATTTTGATAGCATTATTAGAAGACGGAGATTATCTGAAAAATGTGATGTATTAGCGCTATACATTTCGAACAATCTGATCACACATTTACTTGTCGAGTCAATATATATGGAAAAGTTAAATTAAACAAGGTGACAAAAAAAAAGAATTAAGAATAATTAACACAAACGTTTGGTAATCCAATCAAATAAGGATTACCAAGGTAGGTTAAGAGTAATAACAAACTGTAAATGTGTGATCAGATTGTTCGAAATGTATAGCGCTAATACATCACATTTTTCAGATAATCTCCGTCTTCTAACAATGCTATCAAAATTTATAAAAGGGACTAACTGTTTTAAATTTCATCGATTGTTTAGGGTTGTTTCAACCAAATTTACTGATCAACTTGGCGGTAAACATTCTTAAATATCATTTCATAACTTCTTGTATGACTATAGCTTTACTGTCACCATGCATAATCATATCAAAGCTTCCACTACCCAATACTGAGATATTATTTAGTAGGTTGTTTATTTTCCTTTCTATTTCTTGGTATTTTTTCGCATTTAAAAAAAATATTTTGTGTTTTTCCTGTTTGTTTTTTTGCTGTTGGTGTCTTTATATTTATTTTCTTTTTTTGGAAATGCTCCTTTTAAACGTTGGATAAAACTAGATGCAAATATTGTAGATATGTGCTGAAAATTCCACAATGTACCACCAGTACTGTTTTTGGAATAAAGCAAATTTTTATTATTTTTATTAAATTTCTTTCTCTTGAACACTCCTCCTCAATACTTGATTCTATACATTTTTACACGCACCTTTATTTAGGACTATATCGACATAAATAATCAACCACAATGGAAACCGTTGATCTATGCAATCTGCTTCTTGCATACCACAGTACAAGAAAGGCGTAAATACGGTCCACTCGGGTGGAATATTGCCTATGAATTTAACACGTCTGATCTAAACGCCAGTCTACAATTTGTACAGAATCATTTAGACGATATGGATCCGAAATTGGTAAGTGAACTAACTGCCTTACACTTTTCTTCTTAGTTAGCATTCCGTCTTAGTATATTTAAATTTGATTCTCACATAACTATACGTTGTGTATAGAGTCTCTGATTAATTAATATAACAGTTTCTTCTAGTATATATATGTCCGCAAACCAAGTTCCCTTTTAACAGTTTGAAAAAATTTTGGCGTTGGGTGGTATATGTGATATTCATTATAATAAAGGTGGTTTTTTCTTGTATCACAAAGATGTCAATTGAACATCAGTGAAATAAATAAGACCTTGCAATTCTGTCTAGAAAATAATTCGGCGAAGAGACTCTTTTCAACGAATTTATCATCAAGCTGTACAATCGTATATTTCCTCGATGTGAACTTATCAAGAAGGACCGATGGAACCCTGAAAAGATCGATTTATCGCAAGCTGTCTTGGAATGGTCAACTGACAAATTTCTACGGCTGGGTACCCATTGGTCGAAAACGAAACCTGATCCGGTCGCTTGCCACTCGTATTCGGCGCATATGTAGCCCTGATACTGTGGAAGATGAGTTATACATCTTGAGGAAAATCCTAATAGAAAATGGATTTCCACCACGTTTTATAGATAAGAGTATTCATTCAAATCCTAAAAAAACGTGAGTTATCAACCGTACCCAAGAAGATACTTTACATGAGCTTGGAATTCAAAGGGGACTTAGCTTGCGATATCATGAAACGGAGGATATCACAATCCCTGAAAAGAACATTCACTGCTGCATCCCTGAGAATAGCCTTTACTAGTCGACCATTATTGTTCAATAACCTGAAGGACAAGATCCCGCTGTTGACCAACTCTATGTGTGTTTATCAATTCACCTGCTCGTGTGGAGCTAGGTATATCGGTCGTTCGACACGAGTTTTGTCCAAGAGGGTGCAAGAACACTATCCTGCATGGTTACGAAAAGGTGTTAGTGGAGCAATAAGAAGCGCGATCATTGAACATCTTGCCGATAATGATCACCCTATCTACATAGCCTCCGCCTTCAAAGTCATCTACAAGGCAAAGAGTAATCTACCCAAATCCCTACGTACCCGACTCATCTGTATTGCTGAAGCTTTGGCTATCGAAACAGAAAAGCCAGATCTCTGTGTACAGAAAAAGTTCGTTCAACCTCTCCAACTTTCATGGTCTTAATCCCTCTATGCTAAAGTATGGTAATCCCCAATCATATTATAGCTCTACCAACTCTCCATTTTTTCATTTTTCATTTTTGTCTATTCAATTTGTGTTCTCTTCCTTATTAAGTCAAATGTTACTATTACTACTCTCACTTTTAATTGTCCCCGGTATTATTTCACTTGTTCCACTTGTCATTCTAAATCAATTCCTTTATGCAACATTAAATTCTATGGTATTAAATTTCACACAATATTACGTAACGTTTTTATTTTATTCGATTTGTCTACTAATCTTATAATTGCACACCTTTTTCAAGTTCTATCCATCCTATGAATTATTCTATATATGACATTAATTTGCTTTGCCACTTGACATTTAACTATGATTATAATCACAGACATTTTAGTTTTAATTGCATTTCATATTATTACTATTACTATTTTATGCATTCACACCTATGATTCAATTCCCTCACCGGATATAACTTCTTAAAAACCATATATATACGATTGTACAGCTTGATGATAAATTCGTTGTTGAAAAGAGCCTCTTCGCTGAATCATTTGTTTTGATTTTCTATATGTTACAATGGGAATTTTCCATGATTTAGAAAATAATTATTTTGCATTTAAAGGGAGTTTATATAGACGGACATATAATGTTGCTATGGGTTCACCAGTCTCCCCCATAATAGTCGCTGATCTTTTCATGAATAGATTCTTCGAAGATAACATCTGCTCAAGCATACTCACTCCTAAAATATGGTGAAGATATGTAGACGATACTTTTATTGTGCTAAAACGACCGAGATCTACACAGTTCATTCCTGGAGAACACAGAACGATCTATCTCCCAGAATCCAGTTTACTTCAGAAGCAGGCAAATTCAGACATCGGTGAACCACCATTTCTAGACTGCCTGGCTAGTTAAGAGCAGGGAAAACGGACACTTTAGTATATCCATATTCAGGAAGAAAACCCACTCCAACAACAAATTCCATTATGGGTAAATTTTATTTTGATAAAGTCTCAGTAATATTTACTGATGACGTTTCGAGCACAATTTATTGCTCATAGTCATAACAAGGTAATCACACGACTTCCTAAATTCATTTATATAATTCCGTTGTTTTTCACTTGATTTGATTGGTAGTATTATTTTCCATATTTCGGGTATGAGTGATGATTCATTCCTATTGCATGCGTTGGGTGTAGATTCGATGAACAAGGATTCAGTAATCAACCTCTCTCTCTCCACCTACCTAGATTACTTTTTAGAATCTTAACCCTCTCCCATCCACCATACTATTGTGTGGTTGTGTGTTGATGCATGCATTGCAATTGCTGAGCTTTTTTCTAAATTACATATCTTCTCTGGATCAACCATTCTTACCTTAGCTAAATTCTTATGTTCTGACAATCTGACTACCCCTGACCTACTAGTTTGACCTATGTAGTTGACCTAATTCACAGTCATTGCAGGGTATTTTGTAAATTATATTATTTTGTCTAATTGGGTCCACTGGGTCCTTTAACCTACAGAGCTTGTCCTACCTGAGTGAGTTTGTAGGTTTAAATGCCACTCTAATTCCTGCTTTATTCTTATACCAACAACAAATATTTAGACTTCAAATCATCACACCCCATCAGCGCAAAGATTTCAGTTGTTTCAAGTCTACTTAGACGAGCACACTCTGTGACTGACAACGGATGAGAAAGAAAAAGTGGAAGAAGAAATATCAAACATTACTGAGACTCTCCTCGAGCAAAACAACCACTCAACGAACTTCATCAAAAAAAATCAACACTGACATTAGGTAGGGTCGAAAACGCATTCCGAAAACATGGACCTCAACAGACGTCATTCCACATAGAGTAGAGACGTGGGACAATATCAGAAGAGTACTCAATCAGCTCGACATTCGAGTTTTCTTCAAAACATCAGACACGCACACTGCGAAACAACCTTGTCCATATAAAAGACTAAATCCCTAAAAGATTATCTATCTAATTGTGTCTATAAAGTAAAATAAAATGCTTGCTTGGAATGTGATGCGATATACATCGGACAAATTTCTTCAATAATCAACTTCACTTCACTGCTTATGTCCAAATGAAGTTCACTTTTAACAGTTTCAAGAAACAGTTTGGGCATTGAGTGGTATATGTGATATTCAATATAATAAAGGTTGTTTTCTAGTATTTCCCAATGAATGAATGAAAAAGAACAAAACGATATTGTTTTACATACATTTGGTTCCCTTGATAAATGTCGATAAAGAAAGGAAGACGAAATTTGCAGTATAAAATGTGATATCGTCATTCCATTTCACAGGTTCTCATCAGCTGCAGACTACCTGAAATTACAATGGTTATGTATACGTGATAATAACATACTTTAATGTTTGAGTGGTAGTAGAGAAGAGATACTGTAAAAGTGACGCATCCAAAATGAAAGCAGCATTACAATTTTTAGTTTAAGTTTTCATCATCAATTTATACACTTTTAAATTTGAAAAGAGGTGGGGGAGGGTTAAGACAGAAAACAGAAAAATTATTCAACAGAACAGTGTTAGCTTGTAGCTTGTTCACATAGCAACTCAAAAATCAAAATCAGTTAAAGTTTATGGGATTAAGATTTGTTCAGTGAGTTAAGATCACTCACTGAATTAGGTGACTAATTAATGTAATCAAAATAAAAATTCAGTTACCACTCAAAACTGGATAAATACCCTGCTGATGTCACCTCCAGCTGCGTGTTTATGAATTTACGTGCACTTACGGGCGCAAGTAAATTGGAAGGACGGGAAGAAGTGCTTCCATCCGGTGGTTTTCTGAACATATTCCAAGAAACCTGTGTCTGAAAGGAAGCAAATATTCTCAGAATGCAATTACCAGACATATTGTTGATACCGGACATCTGGAGTCAGTTCTAGTGAGAAGTCGTGACCACTGAGGTCCATGGAGATGTCACGTGTGAGGATGGATGTCCCACCGATGACATTGGTTGGTGCCAGTCGTGCTAAATCACGAATTTGTAGAAGTTAGAATTCATGCACTGGCTGGCCATTGAATCGGGTGGGTCCCAGTGAGTGGCTGAATAGCATACGAGCCAGCTAGCTTGCCTTGTAACCGGAAGGTCCTGGGTTCGAACCCTCGTGACGGTGGTTGTGTACTGCCGATGATTCGCAAACTAGGCTGATGAAACAGCTGTCTGGCAGTACTCTCTGTGGCTGGTTTTCAATGCTTCTCTAACTGATATCAATCCGTACATGGTCGAACTCGTAAAAACAAAACTAACCCCCTTACAAACCAAACTATAGAAAGGAATAATAATAATAATCTTTCTGTGAGCACTTATGATTTTTCAGGATACGCTTTTCGGAAATAAGTGATGCTTGTTCACCTATTTGTGTGTGTGTGTGTGTGCTCACAAATGTTATAAATGGTATCCTTCATTATTTAAAACACACAGGGAATCTGAATAAGGCATTTAGAAGAAGACAAATTTCGCCGCGAGATGATATCGTCATTTCGTAGTTTCTTTACAACCGCTTTACACAACTAACATGGTTAACAATAATAAAATAAAATAAAGATCATGACAATTACTCAGTTAAATAAAAAAACACAAAAGTACATACTAATGACCAATCATATTTAGATAGGTCATGTTGTCCATGGTAGGCGAAGATTGAAGTCTATTGATTTTTGTACACACAGTTTAGGCTGTATGAGATTAATCCCCGAAGAGTGCTTCCATCACCTTCAATAACCAACCTTGAATTAGAGTTATGCGAGGAAATAATTGTGAAACAGTCATTAATATTGATTGATTTTGTGACCTGACATTAATAAGTGCTTTGCAATGGATGATGATGCTGGATTTCTATTCAGATTAATCAATGCATTGGTGGGATTTTCTATATGATTTAGTCACTATTTCGGAACATGTTCTTTCCGACGACATTGGAACATTCTATTGGTTCTACCCATAAAGGTGTGTGTCACAGCAGCTGCAGGTGAACTTGTAGATACAGTTTGAAGTAGAGTCCACAGAATTTCGTCCTTTAATCGTAGGTACAGGGATCGAAAATATTCGGCATCTGAGAAAAAGAGATGCGGTGGCGTAGAATGTGCGTTTCATGGCTGATCGAAATCTTTGAGCTAGCTGTCAACTGCATAATCTGGTCACCCTTGAATGATAGGTAGGTTAATAAAGATAGATAGATTTCTTTGGTACAGAAGCTGTCTTTTCGAGATGTGGTCTATCCTTACTGTGACAAGTGATAAAGTTCTCCGGATAACGATTAGCTAATAAAACTGAATGTATATGTCGAAACTCATCCATCAGTGTGTGTCACTCGTGCATATTTTTCGGGCCCTTGAGAACAAACATTTCACACTGCGGAACATTTATACTGGATAGGAAGAAAATTGGTAAAATGAAGATATTGTCAACTCCATGTTTAATTGCATGGAGGATTTCATCATGAGCTCACATCAGTTAGAGAACCACTGGAAAACCTGGGAGTACTGGACAGCTGTTTCGTCCTAGTTTGGGACTCTTCATGTTTGTTATTATTGCTAACCATGTTAGTTGTAAAGCGGTTGTAAAGAAACTACGAAATGATGGTATCATCTCGTGGCGAAATTTGTCTTCTTCTAAATGCCTCATTCAAATTTATCAAACTGGGACTAATTGTTTTAATTTTCTAAAAAACACAGGGGATCGATTGGAAATGCGTTACTTATATGCTTGGAGAAATCCAATATGGCGGTCGTGTAACTGATGACTTCGACAATCGACTTTTAAACACCTACTGCAAATTATGGTTCAATGAAGGTTTGTTCAATGCGGATTTCAAATTTGCCCAAGGCTATACAATTCCTAGAGTACAGAAAATCAATGAATTTCTTGAGGCTATCAATGAAATCCCAATGTATGATTCACCGCAAGCATTTGGGTTACATGAAAATGTGGATATCACGTAAGATGAAGCGCATGTTTGTTTTTTTTATTTTCAATATATATAATATCCCCATTTAGACATTTGGAAAACACAAAAGATTGAGCGAAGAAATATTTACTTTTCGATTAGATCCTCTTCTCTGGCTCTACTCTAATATATATAGCATTTTTATTGTTAACAAACATATCACCACTTGTTTGGTAAATTGTTGTGTATTGTAAAAATGCTATATATATTAGAGTAGAGCCAGAGAAGAGGATCTAATCGAAAAGTAAATATTTCTTCGCTCAATCTTTTGTGTTTTTTTATTTTACAAATTAAATCTTATAGTCATTATGATAAAGTCACGAAAAATACCCATTTATTCATAAGTAAAAACACAGTTTTTGTTCAACGACTTTTCAACGACTTCATTTTCAAGCTGTACAGTCGTATTTATAGTACAGAAAAGGTCATTAAGTGGCACTAAATAATTGCTCAGTCAATATATATATAAACATTATATGTGATATGAATAACGATAATTAAAATGTTATAAGGGGTAGAATTGAGGTGGATATATTACAAAATTATTAAAGATTGTTTTATAAGTGAATTGAAATCAAAAATGTTTTAAAAATGTCAAGTGTTGTCTAAAAATTTTAAAAAATTAGGAGTACGATTACGATAAGAATGAAGATGTGAAGTGAAGTGGAAAGAATTCAAGTGGTAAAATAAAACAAAGTAAAAACTAGAAAGAACATGACCAAGGTAAAGAAAGGGGTTTGACTAGACGTTTTTGAACACATAATTTAGGTTTCTGTTCATGTATAGCTAAAGCTTCGGCTATGTGTGCATAAGTGAAGAAAACGTAAACTTTTGGATCGATTCGATTTTGCCATGTAGATAACTTTGAAAGATGAATCACGTGGGGCTAAATGACCTGACTCTAACAGGTAATCACAGATAGACGACTTCGCAGTTCTACGTTCGCCTTTCATTAACCAGACTGGATAGTGTTCAGCTACACGTTTTCGGCGATTACGCTTACAACGTCCAATATAAACAGCTCCACAAGAGCAGGCAAAAGAGTAAATACACATGGATGTGGACAAAAGCGGTAATCTATCCTTGACGCATTGTCTAATCATATTTCGGCTGGTAAAAACTAGTTGTAAGTCAGCTGCAGGAAAAGTACGTTTAATACATTTAGACAAACGATTTTTAGTCAATCTTTAATAATTTTGTAATTTATCCACTTCAACTCTACCCCTTATAACATTTTAATTATCGTTATTCTTATCACATATGTGTATATTGACTGAGCAATTATTTAGTGCCACTTAATGACCTTTTCTGTAATATAAATACGACTGTACAGCTTGAAAATGAAGTCGTTGAAAAGAAATTTCTTCGCTGAACAAAAACTGTGTTTTAATTATGATAAAGGTTGTTTTCTTGTATTCCCAATGAATGAAAAAGAACAAAACGATATTGTTGCTCTTACTGACGTTTCGCTATTTAATGCTGCTGCTAATAGCTTTATCAAAGTAGCATTATTAAACCAGAAGAATTTACAAAATCCACTCAGCATATATATAAGAAAGAATAAAGAGGTGAGAAAATAAACTACTTAGGTCAAGTTAAAAGGAGGACATATTGAAAGTAAAAATAACAATGAAGATCAATCACTAAACCAAATAACGGAGGTAATAGTACATCTGCCCTGGCTGGTATCAAAACAAAGTTTACTAACTTGATCATCGTTCCTCAGTCTGGGGGTCATTTTTCGTTGTCAAGTTGGTCAATTGGTAAAGATAACAAAACCAAGAGTAGATTGTTGGATTTGATCAGTGTGTAAAATTATAAAAGCAGTGTGTGTTTACATAGTGAACTTGCATATCACATTCGTGTTGATTTTGTCACTTCATGTGGGAGGGGTTGGGGTGTTGTAACCAGGTCAGATTCTGAAGTGATAAAATCAACACGAATGTGAGAAGCAAGTTCAATATGTTTACAGTTTACAGTTTACAATTCATTTAGGATAGTAGGCTATATGCCTGTGTTAATCCTTTCGATTTGTTACACACAGGAGGTCCAATCTCGCCTTGAATGAATCAACGGATGGCACTGATACGACATGTTCCGGTAGGGAGTTCCAATGGTTCACAATTCGATGCGAAAAACGGATCTCCAAACGCAGACGATTCGGCCGTGGTTTTTGAACCTTGAGGTGATGTCCTCGCAATTGGTTGGTGCTAGAAGGAAGAAATAAATTAGATAAATTAACTCCAAAATCATTTCTTAGGATGCGGTATGCTAGTATTACGTCACCCCTAAGTCGTCTGTATGACACTGGAAATAAACCCAGTCGACTTAACCTCTCCTAATATGAGAGGGTTGAGAAACCCTTTATTAGCTTAGTTCCTACTGATTGCACCCTTTCTAATAAGTCTATTTCGTATTTGACGTTTTGCTATTTAATGCTGATGCTAACAGCTTTATCAAAGTAGTATTATTAAACCAGAAGAATTTACAAATTTCACTCGGCATATATATAACAAGGAGTTAAGAGGTGAGAAAATAAACTACTTAGGTCAAGTTAAATGGGGGACATTTTGAGGGTCAAAATAACAATGAAGATCAATCACTAAACCAAATAACAAAGGTAATAGTACATCTAATCTGGCTGGTATCAAAACAACGCTTACTAACTTGATCATCGTTCGTCAGTTTGGGGTCATTTTTTGTTGTCAAGTTTGTTAATTGGTAAAGATAACAAAATCAAGTGTAGATGACTGTTGGATTTGATCAGTGTGTAAAATTATAAAGGCAGTGTGTGTTTACATAGTGAACTTTCATATTACATTCGTGTTGATTTTGTCACTTCATGGGGGAGGGGGGTGTTGTAACCAGGTCAGATTCTGATCATTATATAAACACACGCTGTTTTTTATGTGTGTGTGTGTGGGTGGGTAAACAGTTGTAAAACATTTCTTAACGTCTCCATAAGAAGATATGGACAATCGGGAATTTTGACCAAGTATTAATAATTAGTGATACATATCCATTTGTTATTTATTAATCAGGATTTCCTATGCATCAGCTAACACACATCACACCACACCTTCATGTCTGTTCAAACTGTTAGTATCTAGAATTTTATGATTAGACGTATATTTTCAAAATTATGGTGTTTAGGATTAGAGTTTAGTTGAAAAGCACCCTGTCGGACTTATTGCTTTGTCTTCTTCTTTCTGAAGATTGAGCTGCTTTATTATTCGACCTACTGGAGTTGTCAGGTGACTCGACAGCTACGGATTTAGGATATGCATTATTCTGTTGCAGACAACGGAGAGTGAAAACACGATGATTGTTCCAATTACATGTAGTTTCTTTGTTAATTTAATTCGATTGCAAAATAATTCAAATGAACTGTCGTCAAGATTTGACAGAATAGTTCTAAAATATTTGGGCACCGAGTGAGAAGTAGACATTTGTAAAAAATTATATTTGTAAAATCTCAGAGAGATTGAAATGAGTAATCCCAACGTTTCCTCTGCTTTCGCCAATCTGGTCCGAACTTCTTCAGGGAAATTAATCGAAATTAACATAACAGAGGTTTATATAGATAAAGCAATAAGAAGACGTAATTTGTCTGAATTGTGTGTAATGTGTATTTGCGCAACACATTTCGAACAATCTGATCCATCACATACGGACTTTTCATAGGAATATTTATATATGAAATTAATAAAGGGTTAAGAGGTGGGTGAGAAAATAGACTACTTAGGTCAAGTTAAAAGGAAGACATATTGAAGGTCAAAATAACAGTTGGAGACCACTAAACCAAATAGCAGAGGTAATAGTAAAACTGCTATGGTATATATTTTATATTTTATTATAGCTTGATTCCACACAGAATTTGGGTACAAGTATGAAATTTTCAGCATGTGATATCGGTAGCCCAAATTTAGCAGGCCGACCATAGATATCAGGTGTGCGTCGGCGGGGGTTGGAACCTCGGACCATGTGCATGGTCGGCGAGAGTCCTAACCGTTATGCCACCGACGCACATCAAAACAAAATTTACCAAGGAAGGTTTAATGTGATAACGAATTGTTGCTTTGAACGCATAAAGGTGGTTTAAACTTCCTAATTGCCAGCTAGGGCTAGCTTCCACAAACTTTAGGATACGCCCTCCCCGAAACACGTTTTATAGATAGGGTTAAGAGATCTGTTAACGTGAATTCTATGTCCTGTCTCCTCTGTAATATGTTTCGCAATAGAAGAGCTAGGTCTCCGGTTCTCACCGTTAATAGGTTCTGAAGAATCCATTTGTTTGTGGAGTCATTTAGGAATATGCTCTGAAGCCCTTACTTCAGATGTTTATATATAAAAGGAACATCACTTGTTTTTTTAAAAACTTTGTCCAATCATGAGTCATGAAACAGACATCAACATGTATAATAAATAAATAAATAAAATTGCATGTTTAAATATAAAAGCACATCTCTTGTTTTAAATTGTTTGTCTTGTCATGTGAATCAGGAAACAGCTATCAATAAGTATAATAAACAAAACAAAACAAAAAATTTTTTATATGAACTGTGGTCAAAATTTGACCTCAGACTTCCCAAATTAGTCTACTTTTGTTAAAATATATGTGTACATTCAGTATGCAATGGTGTGTGTGTGTATGTGTGTGTGGGTGAACAGTCATAAAACATTTGTTATTCTCATAGGAGCTGTGATCAAGATTTGACCGGATAGTTACAAAATAATTGAGATTTTTTACGAATATAATATAATTTTCAAGTATTGGATTTGTAGGGATTTTGTTTGATTGCATGGAGGATTTCATCATGAGCTGACATCACTTAGAGAACCACTGGAAAACCTGGGAGTACTGGACAGCTGTTTCGTCCTAGTTTGGGACTCTTTATCAGTACGTGCCCACCGGGATTCGAACCCAGGACCTTCTGGTTACAAGGCGAGCTCGTAGACCATTGAGCCACTGGGACCCGATCCAATGGTCCTTGAATTCTAACTTCTGCCAATTCACGACATAGCGCGACCATTTCGCAATGTCTTCTTCGATCAGTTACTGCCTCATCTTCAATATAATTTTGTAAATTTGTTCTTCTCTCCATAAGAAGACGTAGACAATCGGGAATTTGACCAAGTGTGACTAGTTATTGAAACATATCCAATTTTTATTTATTAGTCAGGATTTGCCATGCATCAGCTAAGATCACACCACACCTTCACGTCTGTTCAAACTGTTGGGATTCACCCATATATGTGCAGGGCTTCTCCAGTCAGTCAGTCTTTCTTTATATGAACCAAAACCTTTCTGTAGAACCTTAGTCTTATCAAAGTCGATTTTGTGTCCCATTTCTATGGAATGCAGTGCAATCGCTGAATTGTTTTTTTAGCTTCTTTAAGTTTGCACAGGTTTTTAGAACCAACTTTAGACATTGTTTATGCTCTTTCACTCTTATATTTACCTGTCTGGAAGTTTCTCCTACATATACGACGTTACAATCCCCACAATTGATCTGGTATACACAATTCTGCTGGTTTTCTTGTTCTATTTTATCCTTAACCTTCACCAGTGATGAGCGTAAGGTGTTTGATGCATGAAAATACACTCTTATGTTGTCATGATCGTTAAGGATTCGCTTTATTTCATCGGATGTTTCTTTGCGGTAAGGAATCACCGCTGTACTAACCCAATTCTTAGCATCAGGTTTTGATTCATCCTTATCTTCACATTTTAAATATCTTTTTATGAAGGCTTTAGGATAATTATTTGATTCAAGAGTGGATTGAACCAATTTTAGTTCCTTGCTAATCTCTTCCTCCTCCTCAGTAACTAGACGTTTGGCTCTGTTAATCAGATTCTTGGCCACAGTGTTACTTTGGTGGTAAATGAGGGTGTGCTGAATAGTAAGTAGTCTAGGTATCTATCCGAATTTCTCGGCTTTCTGAAAATGTTCATTTTAAATTTGCCATCTAATTTTCTTTGTTACTAAACAGTCCAGGAACGCCAACTCATTCTCATCGGATTCAACGTCTTTGGAAAACTTGATAGTTTCTGACATATTGTTTATTAAGTGAAAAAGTTCATTTAACAAACTACGTTTGATTATGATGAAGGTATCTCATCTACGTATCTTAACCACATCTTTGGGCGGGGGGACTAGGACATCTCATAATTGCATTTGTTTCTAATGAGTGCATAAACAGATTGGCGACTAACGGAGATACTGGTGATCCCATAGCAATGCCTCCTGTTTGACGATAAAGAACCAACCCCTCTAAACGTAAATAACGTGGATCGAAGACACAATTCTTATACCTTCATAATTTCGTCGGGATTTAAAGGACAACGACCACTGTGTGTTCGTCGTTTTTTTTTCCTTCACGTTCCCCAGTGGAACATGATGCTTCAGGCTAGTGGCTTGAAGTTTCTGTAGCAGTGTTTATTTCTACAGGATGGGGTTGCTAGCCTCATGCCCAACCTTTCCTCTTCACCAGCATTATTTCTGGCTTAGCGAGGTAAAGGAGTGCGCCGGCCGGGGACCGAACCCCGGACCATGTGGATGGTCGGCGAGCGTCCTAACCGCTATGCCACCGACGCGTGTTCGTCGTTAGCACAAAGTAAATTATAAATAATACTTAAAGAATCATTAACGGGAACATTCGTGAATAACGAATAAACATCGAAACTTGCCATTTTATTTCATCTTCTTCAATATTAGTCAAGTTTATTTGCCTCTATCAACTATCCGGTCAAATCTTGATCACAGTTCATATGTACTTATAGTTAAGGTTAGCCATATTAACGAGTATCATCGTGCTGAAGTTTCTGTAGCAGCTTTGTTTACAGGGTGGGGTTGCTAGCCTCACGCCTGAGAAGGGGATTGTTACATTAAAATATAGTTTAGAGAGATGCGACCTTGTGGGTTGCTCCCCTTAAAACCAGGAAGACAAGGAATAAAGCAATCAGAACAGCACTGGGAAATAATTCACAACAGCGAGAAGGGTAACAAGCGACAACAATAATAATAATATCACAGTCAAGTACAGTTAACTAAAATGATACCAAAATCATAGACTCACTGACTTGAGCCAACTTGAACATGTAAATCCATCAATATATACAATTATAGGTATTAGTTAGTGTTAAACAAGCACAGAGTGGCAAATAGATAGTTACAGGTATTATCCAACAACAAAGTTTATATCCAAAGATTCAGTGTTTCAAAGGCAAATAATTGCAATAGTTTTTTGCAACTTTTTGGCAAGATATTCCACAAAAATAAGAGTTTTAGGTAACTATGTAAATATAGCGTAGTAGTCGAAAAGCGCTTTCACTACTATTAAGTCTGTGTGGGGGTCAACAGACAGCACTCAGCATCAAAAATAAGATCCGGATTTTCAACTCCAATGTGAAGTCAGTCAGTGCTACTCACTATACGGATGGATCAGAGACTTTGCCAGCGTGTCATAAAGAGCATCTCAAACAAACTACAGACCTTCATTAACAGTTGTCTTCGCTCAATACTCAAGATCAGATGGCCGGAAAGGATCAGCAACAAAGATCTCTGGGAGCGAACCAACCAGGAACCGATTGTGAAACAAATAGGCAGGAAGAAATGGAGATGGATTGGATTGGCCATACTCTGAGAAAACAAACCATCAAGTGACATCATTAGACAAGCCATTGCTCGAGTGGAACCCGAAAGGGAAGCGGCGAGTTGGTCGTCAATGCAAGGGTGAGGGTGACTTGTAGGAGGTCATGTGAAGAGGAGATGAAAACGTGTGGGCAGACTTGGAGCCAGGTGAAGACTCTAGCAGAGAACCGAACGCAATGGAGACGCACGGCTGAAGCCGTATGTTCCTCTAGGAATTAAAGGAAACTATAATAATAATAATAATAATAATTAACGAGTAAGTAAATGATGATCCTTTCCAGATTATTTATTGTATGCACTTTCTTTTTTATTCCTTACCATTTAGATATCAAAGTAAAAAGGCAAAAGTTGTCCTCGACTGTATCCTGAATGTTCAACCAAAAGATGCTAATACTGGTGCCGCAGAGACACGTGAAGATGTTGTACGACGTATGGCTATGGATCTCCTAGACAAACTACCACCGGATTATGCACAATTTGAAGTAAACGAATGCTTAAATCAAATGGGTGCACTACAACCAATGAATATATTTCTACGTCAAGAGTTGAATAGAATTCAACACTTGCTGACAACAATGCGAGAAGATCTTGTCAGTCTGACTTTGGCTATTGACGGGACTGTTGTAATGAGTGAACAGTTACGTCAGACATTAGACTGTATGTATGATGCAAGAATACCGAAACAATGGACAAAGGTAGGTCGAGTTACGCTAATTCCATGGTAACGCAAATGCGCATTTTGTAATTTCCTAATTCCTAATTGTGGTGGACTGGATTATGCGTCGTCAGACAGTGGGAAACGAGAAGACAGGGATATCCTGGACCGATGTGAAGAACCTAGAAGACCTGGATTTCGCGCGTGGATGATTTATGTTTGATGTCACAGAAAATCGAAGACTTACAAGTGAAAACCGACAAAAACTCGTCGAAGAAGCAGCAAAGACAGGACTCCATCCAGGTGAACATAGACAAGACGGAGGTTATGAAAATAACTAATCAACAACAAGAACAACAACAGCAGCAACATCCAGCGCCAATCACCATCAACGGGAGGGATTTGAAAGAGGTTACTTCATTCACTTATCTAGCTAGGGAGCATTGTCTCAACTACAGCAGGGGGAAGGAACGAGGATGTCAAATCGAGAATCAGGAAGGCGAGAAACACATTCATCAACCTGAAACCAATCTGGAAATCTTCGTCACTCAACTCAGCAACACTCAACAACAAAATTCGGATTTTCAATACAAACGTCAAGTCAGTCAGTTCTTCTATACGGATCAGCCTGTTGCAGACCTTTATCAACAACAACAACAACTGTCTTCGCTCTCTACTGAAGATCAGATGGCCACCGGGAAAGAACAAGAACCAACAAGAAGCTATGGGAACAAACAAACAAACGAAACAAGAACCAATCGCCCAACAAATATGCAGGAGAAAGTGAAGATGGATTGGACACTCACTGAGGAGGCCGCTGGGTGACATCGCGCGTCAGGCCATCGCTCGAGTGGAACCCGAAAGGGAAGCGGCGAGTAGTCGGACGTCCAAGGGTGACATGGAGGAGATCGTGTGAAGAGGAGTTGAAACAGTATGGATTAACATGGATGCAGGTGAAAAGTACAGCAGAAGGCAGAAGCACAAGTGGAGACGTGTAGTTGAAGCCCTATGTTCCACTAGGAACCCAAGGGAACAATAATAATAATATTGTAATTTCAAGATATCATCATCTAATTAGAATTATTCTTCTCCTGGTCATGAGTTTCCTTGTTGACTGCATTGTAATTCTGATGCACGCATTTCTAGAAGTCTTATATGGTTAATGGTTTTCTCTTTTTTTGAAAAAATTTGATCGACAAAATAGAGTTATGTCTTGAAGAAAATAAAAAAGAGGCAAATTCAGCCAGCGAAGAAAATGCTTCTTTAGCGACGAAATCATCTTCACAGGCTGGCTGGCTTGGCTGTACAGTCGTATTTATACTTACCAAAATTATATAGTGGTCTATTATTGAGTAATAGGGGTGGGGTGACATAATTGATATAATTACTCGGAAGTGGCTTTAGAAGTGAAAATTAAAAGTTGTAAATTACGTGGTACTCAACGGCGCAAACATAGAAATTTGTTAAGGAAGGTTAAAATTGCTGTTGAGTGAGAAAGAATAAAGGTGGTAGTTGAGTGTCAATTTAACAAGTGTGAAGAGGGTGTGAAAATGTACAACAGGGAACATATGAGAGTGATAATAGTGAATTAATTATTAAAGCAAAAGCAAAAAAGTTCTAGGGGGAAGCCGTGACCAGTAGGGTACAGCAGGTTGAAGATGAGGCAGTAACTCATCGAAGAAGACTTTGTGAAGTGGTCGCTCTATGTAATGAGTTAGACAGCTGTTTCCGTTGTCCTAGTTTGGGACTCTTCATCAGTACGCACCCACCGCCAATGTTCGAACCCAGGACCTTCTGGTTACAAGGCTAGCGAGCGAGCTCGTAGAACATTAAGCCACTGGGACCCGACCCGATCCAATGGCGAGCCAGTGCATGAATTCTAACTTCTGCCGATTCACGACATAGCGCGACCGCTAGCCAATGTCATCGCTGGCGAGTATTTGTCCTCACACCCGAACTGCTGTACCCTACTTGTCACGACTTCCCACTAGAACCCACCCAGGTAACTGCCTACCTGAATAGGGCCAGTCACCAGTGAGCATCTCATCGATATTCAAGTATTGGTTTGTAGGGATTTGATTGATTGGTTACAAGATTTTCTCATGAGCTGACATTGGTTAGAGAACCATTGGAAAACCTGCAGGGAGTACTGGACAACCAGCCGTTTCATCCGAGTTTGTCCTTCCCATTTCTGTGAATTCTGAGTGAAGTATAACGCTTTAAGCTTGGAAGTGTCAGTAGCGTTGTTTTTTTATATACAGTTGACTAGCCGACTTAGTCGCATCGGCTAGGCCAGATTTAGCAGTGCGTCAGCTGGGAATCAAACGGCGAACGCGTGCATGATTGGCGGCGATCATTCTACCATTATACCGGCAACTCACAGCCCTGGGAGCTGAATGTTTTTTTTCCCATGTGACAGTATGAAATGTCCGGATATTAGTAAAAATTTAATAGATATTTGAAAACTTAGACTTTATGATGTTGTCTTGTTGCTCAGATAGAAGCAGGGTTTAAAATTAGGACCCAACAGTTTCGAATTAGATATTTTGGATGATTGATGTGCAGTGAAAAAAGACGAAAGTGTTTAGAAAATAACAAAAATAGCATTCAAGTGTTGGTTTGCAGGGATTTGATTGATTGGTTACAGGATTTCATTATGAGCTGACATCGGTTAGATAACCATTGGAAAACCTGGGAGTACTGGACAGCTGTTTCGTCCTAGTTTGGAACCATTGGATCGGGTTCCAGTGGCTTAATGGTTTACGAACTTGCCTTGTAACCAGAAGCTCCTGGGTTCTAACCTTAGCAGTGGGTGCGTACTACTGTAGATTTACAAACTGGGCAGACGAAACATCTGTCCAGTATTACCTACAGGTTTTCCAATGGTTCTCTAACCAATGTCAACTCATGCTGAAATCCTGTAACCAATCAATAAATTCCCTACAAACCAATACTTGAACATCAATGAGATGCTCACTAGTGACTGGCCCTATTCAGGAAGGTAGTTACCTGGGTGGGTTCTAGTGGGACGTTGTAACTAGTAGGGTACAGCAGGTAGGATGTAGGGACAAATACTCGCTGAAGACTTTGCCTAGTGCCAGTCGCGCTATGTCGTGAATCAGCAGAAGTTAGAATTCATGCGCTGGCTCGCCATTGGATCGGGTTGGGTCCCAGTGGCTCAATGGTCTACGAGCTCGCTCGCTAGCCTTGTAACCAGTAGGTCCTGGGTTCGAACATTGGCGGTGGGTGCGCACTAATGAACAGCTCCAAACTAGGCTGACGAAACAGCTGGTTGTCCAGTACTCCTTGCAGGTTTTCCAATGGTTCTCTAACCAACTGATGTCAGCTCATGATAAAATCCTGTAAAAAATCACATTTTTTTATGATTCTAATTTCAGTGTTCAGTTCATTAGTGTGCTACGCTTCTCCCTCCCTTTCTAAATATGGGAATAACTTCCAGTCGTCCGTGGGAAAGCGAGTAAATTGTCCCATGGTGTTACTTTTTGACTTCTGATTGTAAATAAATAAAGAAACATTTTTAATACTTCATGAATAATTCCCATTCGGACATTAGTAGACAAAAGACAAGTAGTTCAGCAAAGAGTCTCTTTTCGGCGAATTCATTCATTCAACAAATGCCATCCAGCCACAAAGTTCACTTTGGAAACTGAAAACGAATCAAAAATCCCTTTTCTTGACGTTGACCTTACAAGGAGAGATGACGGAACTTTAAGAAGGTCAATCCATAGGAAACCGACTTGGAACGGACAATTAACAAGTTTCTACAGCTGGGTACCAATCAGTCGGAAAAGAAACCTAATTAAATCCCTTGCCACTCGCGTCAGACGCATCTGCAGCTCCGACACCATGGAAGAAGAACTAAACTTCCTGAGGGAAATCTTCATACAAAATGGCTACCCACCAAGATTTGTAGACAAAAACATCAAACAGAAAAACCAAAAGCAAGAGACACCATCCGTGCCAAAAAAGATACTTTATATGAACCTAGACTTCAAAGGAGACCTACTTAGTGACGTCCTCAGGAGGAGAATTTCCACCTCTTTAGGAAGAACTTTCCCTGCGGCAACACTAAGAATAGTGTTCTCCAGTCGCCCGCTGATCTGCAGAAACCTAAAGGATAAGATTCCGCACATGACCACTTCTATGTGTATATATCAGTTCACCTGTTGCTGTGGAGCCAGGTACATCGGTCGTTCAACGCGCATCCTATCAAAAAGGGTCAAAGAACACTACCCAGCGTGGCTACAGAAAGGAAATAATGGCCATATAAGGAGTACAATAATCGAACATCTAGTCAACACTGGTCATTCCATTTCAACGAACGCCTCCTTCAAAGTGATCTACAAAGTGAAGAACAACCTCCCAAAGACAGTACGATTTCGTCTTCTTTGCATCGCAGAAGCCCTAGCCATCCAGTTGGTGGAACCAGAACTATGCATACAAAAGAAAATTATCCAACCACTTCTACTCGCATGGTAACAACTCCGTTGATTTGACCCAACTCTTCTTCGTTTGTTTGATCTGACCTTACTTCTGTTTGTATGCTTATTTTTCTAACTTAAAACCCTTGTATAATTCTATATATTATTTTGTTTCCATGCACAACCTTTGAGTACAACTCATTCATCAAACTATTCATACCATTGCGTAACTCTTATTTAACAATCATTTATGACAACTCATCACTTTTGTTGCTATCCTCTTATCAACATCCAATTCATTTGAACTTACTAATTGTATTTTCGTTTGACAAATTTAATGTATACACACACACACATACAAAATAACCATATATATTTGCGATTGTGCAGCTTTGAAAATGAATTCGCCGAAAGAGACTCTTTGCTGAATTACTTGTCTTTTGTCTACATTTTTAATCCATGTATGACTTTGAACTTTCTCTTTATCTAAAATGTTGTACATTAGTTTACTTTTTCTCTCCATCCCCCATCCTGCAGTTATCATGGGAATCCTCGACGCTAGGATTTTGGTTCACTGAACTGATCGAAAGAAATCATCAATTTCATGAATGGTTATACAATGGTCGACCAACATGCTTTTGGATGACCGGATTCTTCAATCCACAAGGATTTCTTACAGCTATCCGACAAGAGGTGACACGTAATCATAAAGGTTGGGCATTAGATACAGTCGTCCTGTGGAATGAAGTCACTAGACTGATGAAAGATGATGTTCAACGTTCCCCAGCTGAAGGTGCATATATCTATGGCCTGTTTCTCGAAGGTGCAGAATTCGATCAGAAGAATTTACGATTGACTGAGGCCAAAGCGAAAGTCTTATATCAACCAATGCCTGTTATACATATCCAGGCTATGGATATTGCAAAGGATAAAGAGATACCCAGGGAGATGTTGAAGAACTTCTATGTGTGTCCAGTGTATAGAAAACCGTGTAGAACAGATCGTACCTATGTCACGTCGTTATATTTACGTTGTCCGCCGAACAAGCCGGCTGATCATTGGGTTTTGAGAGGTGTAGCTCTACTGTGCGATATTCGATAGGCCCGAAGACCGACATATTGGTATTATTGTACTCGCATCCCCACATATATCGATGACTTTTTCATCAATCAGCAGAGTGTTTAAGTTTGTGAGAATTCTTTTGTACTTGAGAACACGGATCTTCCATTACATATAGAATAAAGAACTGAGAAAATTTTAAAAATATTTATATTTATACTTATATATATATTCAAGTATTTGATAGTAAATATATATATATGTGGTAAATACTTTCATTGTCATTTTCGGGGAGTGTATCTCGACGAGATTTTTCGTCAACATTCTGTTAAAATCGTTTCTAAATACCAGGTAATATCGTGTGTGTACTTTGGAATAATTTAAGCTTTTCAGTATGTAAGCTGAATACATACTCACATTGTATTTCTACATTGTAACAGCAGAAGGCAACAAGGACCAGGCAACAGATCGTTTATCTTAAGGAAATCAACACATAGTTATCGATTTTCATGTATATTATTATCGATTATTGTTAGCAGACAAACACAGTCTTCTGATTGGTTGTTTATCTTTGTGACTGTTTCTTGAAGGTCAGATCAGCTATCCATCTGCTAACTGTATCCACCTACGCAAACAAAGTGTGCTGTGATTGGTTGTTGGTTGGGTCAGTCTTTCTTCTGGTTTCTTTTCATATGACCAATATTTCGGACATAAACATTGACGTAGATTACTGTCTACCTACCAATTTCGGCTAGCAGTCAGCTCTCCCCACAACACAATGACCATCCAGCCCCAGCATACATAGGCTCTACTCTAGACAGCTTGCAGTGCTGTGGTATGCACATAAACCACTTCTCACACTGTTATCCAACTGGTTGGGATAACGGCTATACTATCTATCATCAATTCAAATGAGCTGTCGTCAAGATTTGACCAGAATAGTTCTAAAATATTTGGGTGCCGAGTGAGAAGTAGACATTTGTAAAAAATTATACATATTTGTACAATCTCAGCGATATTGAAATGAGTAATTCCAACGTTTCCTCTGTGTTCGTCACAATCTGGTCTGAACTTCTTCTTCAGGGAAATTAATCAAAAATAACATAACAGAGGTTTATATATAAAAAGGGGAACATCACTTGTTTTTAAAAACTTTGTCCAATCATGATTCATAAACACAAGTATTAACAAGTATAATAAACAAAATTGTATGAATTAAAAGTCAATCTGAACGAAGAATATTCTTTTCAATAATTTCTCCTATTCAGGTTCTTACAATTATAAAATATATGATATTTGTTGTTGTTACAATAAGGCCACTTATGCGGCAGATACATTTTTTTCTTAACGTAGAATAACAGATTAGCAGTTATGGGGTGTCAAAATAAATAGTCGTATTTGTGTGACAAACGTGCTCTGGGCTGAATTCGATTACAAAATATTGTGAAATGGGAGACAATGGTGATTAATCATAATAGATTTGTAGAGTGTGGGGTAGGAAAATTGACAAGTAAGTCAGTTCAAGGTTATAAAAGGTGTCAGGTGAGTGAGTGAGTGGCTAGTACAAAGTGGTCTGTGTTAAACAGGAGATAGTAAGACTGCAATGAGAGGTGGTTCATAATGAAATAACGAAAATGTGAAATGAAGGAACAGGTGGAGGCATATATTGAGAAAAGAGAAAATATCACTACTGATAATATGTCCGGATAGTATAAATGAAATATTCGATAGTATTGAGAGAATGTTTGCATGATGGGCATAAATTATGATGAATAATAATAATATTGATGATAATAATAATTGTAATAATAAGCAAAGGAAAAAAAAGCCAGGAGGGTTAAGGGGAAGGAGCACTTTTGGTGAGTCGAAGAGTCATCAATTCAAGTTATCATCTTTTGGGCAGTTTAACTCTTTCTCTGTGTGTGTGTATGTATCTATGTCACGTCGTTATATTTACGTTGTCCGCCGAATAAGCCATCTGATCATTGGGTTTTGAGAGGTGTAGCTCTACTGTGCGATATTCGATAGGCCCGAAGACCGACATATTGGTATTATTGTACTCGCATCCCCACATATCGATGACTTTTTCATCAATCAGCAGAGTGTTTAAGTTTGTGAGAATTCTTTTGTACTTGAGTACATGGATCTTCCATTACATATAGAATAAAGAACTGAGAAAATTTTAAAAATATTTATATTTATATTGATATTTATTCAAGTATTTGATAGTAAATATATATATATATGTGGTAAATACTTTCATTGTCATTTTCGGGGAGTGTATCTCGACGAGATTTTCGTCAACATTCTGTTAAAATCGTTTCTAAATACCAGGTAATATCGTGTGTGTACTTTGGAATAATTTAAGCTTTTCAGTATGTAAGCTGAATACATAATCATATTGTATTTCTACATTGTAACAGCAGAAGGCAACAAGGGCAGGCAACAGATCGTTTATCTTAAGGAAATCAACACATAGTTATCGATTTTCATGTATATTATTATCGATTATTGTTAGCAGACAAACACAGTCTTCTGATTGGTTGTTTATCTTTGTGACTGTTTCTTGAAGGTCAGATCAGCTATCCATCTGCTAACTGTATCCACCTACGCAAACAAAGTGTGCTGTGATTGGTTGTTGATTGGGTCAGTCTTTCTTCTGGTTTCTTTTCATATGACCAATATTTCGGACATAAACATTGACGTAGATTACTGTCTACCTACAAATTTAGGCTAGCAGACAGCTCTCCCCAACACAATAACCATCCAGACCCAGCGTACATAGGCTCTACTGTAGACAGCTTGCAGTGCTGTGGTATGCACATAAACCACTTCTCACACTGTTATCCAACTGGTTGGGATAACGGCTATACTATCTATCATCAATTCAAATGAGCTGTCGTCAAGATTTGACAGAATAGTTCTAAAATATTTGGGTGCCGAGTGAGAAGTAGACATTTGTAAAAAATTATACATATTTGTACAATCTCAGCGATATTGAAATGAGTAATTCCAACGTTTCCTCTGTGTTCGTCAATCTGGTCTGAACTTCTTCTTCAGGGAAATTAATCAAAAATAACATAACAGAGGTTTATATATAGAAAAGGGGGACATCACTTGTTTTTAAAAACTTTGTCCAATCATGATTCATAAACACAAGTATTAACAAGTATAATAAACAAAATTGTATGAATTAAAAGTCAATCTGAACGAAGAATATTCTTTTCAATAATTTCTCCTATTCAGGTTCTTACAATTATAAAATATATGATATTTGTTGTTGTTACAATAAGGCCACTTATGCGGCAGATACATTTTTTCTTAACGTAGAATAACAGATTAGCAGTTATGGGGTGTCAAAATAAATAGTCGTATTTGTGTGACAAACGTGCACTGGGCTGAATTCGATTACAAAATATTTCGGTGAAATGGGAGACAATGGTGATTAATCATAATAGATTTGTAGAGTGGGGGTAGGAAAATTGACAAGTAAGTCAGTTCAAGGTTATAAAAGGTGTCAGGTGAGTGAGTGAGTGGCTAGTACAAAGTGGTCTGTGTTAAACAGGAGATAGTAAGACTGCAATGAGAGGTGGTTCATAATGAAATAACGAAAATGTGAAATGAAGGAACAGGTGGAGGCATATATTGAGAAAAGAGATAATATCACTACTGATAATATGTCCGGATAGTATAAATGAAATATTCGATAGTATTGAGAGAATGTTTGCATGATGGGCATAAATTATGATGAATAATAATAATATTGATGATAATAATAATTGTAATAATAAGCAAAGGAAAAAAAAAGCCAGGAGGGTTAAGGGGAAGGAGCACTTTTGGTGAGTCGAAGAGTCATCAATTCAAGTTATCATCTTTTGGGCAGTTTAACTCTTTCTCTGTGTGTGTATGTATCTATGTCACGTCGTTATATTTACGTTGTCCGCCGAACAAGCCGGCTGATCATTGGGTTTTGAGAGGTGTAGCTCTACTGTGCGATATTCGATAGGCGAGAAGACCGACATATTGGTATTATTGTACTCGCATCCACATATATCGATGACTTTTTCATCAATCAGCAGAGTGTTTAAGTTTGTGAGAATTTTTTTGTACTTGAGTACACCGATCTTCCATTACATATAGAATAAAGAACTGAGAAAATTTTAAGAACATTTATATTTATATTGATTTATTCAAGTATTTGATAGTAAATATATATGTACGTGGTAAATACTTTCATTGTCATTTTCGGGGAGTGTATCTCGACGAGATTTTTCGTCAACATTCTGTTAAAATCGTTTCTAAATACCAGGTAATATTGTGTGTGTACTTTGGAATTATTTAAGATTCATGTATAATCCCCCTATCCAGGCATTAATCAAAACAAAACACGTAGTGTTCAGTGGAGAGTCTCTTTTCGCGGGGGCGAATTCATTTTCTTAGCTGTACAATCGCAAATATATATACATGTGTTATTTTGTATGTATGTGTACATTAAGTTTGTCAAATAAAAATAGACAATTGGTTATAGTTATTTTAACTAAACAGGTGAAGAAGATTGGTAATTGGAGTTACGTAATACAAAATCAGTCAAGAAAATTAGGTGTTAATGAAATTAGGCTAGTAACTGAGGTGATGAGTTGTCACAAACAGTTGTTAAAAGAAGTTATGTAATAATATGAATAGTTTGATGAGTGAGTTTTACTCGGTAGGATGCACATAGGAACAAAGTAGAGAATACGAAATTACGTATACGTAAGAGTTCTAAATGAATACAAGAATTTGATGTGGTTGTGTTCTCTGAGCTGGATAGTTAATTTTCGGAGCTTTCATCACCCTACTGGGTGACATCTTCAGCGCATACTTCAATTTGAATTGAAGTGAGCTTTTAGATTTCTCCACGAGTGAGTTTATTAATCATCTCTCCTGGTCGGTGACCACCTTGGACGTGATTGGTTGTTTTTGTGTGTTTTACAACCTCCTAGGTTACTTGTATTGTCACTCATTGTTTCTTTGACTTGAACTTTGACCCTTTGTGTGTGTGTGTGAGGTTTCTTTCTTATCGGTTGATAAATTTTGTCAATCTCGATGTGTCTATTGATTGATGATTCACTGGAATACCAGGTAGGCTTCTAAAAATTCTCTAGCATTCTTGGTGTTGTTTCCTCTGTCTAATATTTGAAC